GCGGCATGGGCTTTCACCCATTTTCTCGCTTTAGCGCGACCTACAGGCGTCTTTGGCAGTGGCACCGCTTTATTAGAATTAGGCGGTATGACCTGATTTAAACGATCTAGCCTTTGGCTGACCATTTAGAGAGTATTGTTGAACCTCTCCAGGTAATTCCTCATAGTTGGGTCGAGCTATGAGCTCGAGGGAATATCCACCATGGTACTCTACGGAATTGGAGGTACTTTAGGAGAAGCATCATCCTGTGCCCGGGGAATCTCCTTGTTGCTGGTGCTAGCTTGCTTAGCTTCAAGACCACGAGCCATTTGTTTAATCAAAGATTCCTAATGAATAGCAGATACTAAATCAGGCCCTTTTTCTAGCGCCAAACTGTTGATACTTGATTTTGACACCAACGACTCACACGTGCAAAGTGTTTAATGGCTCTTAGAAATTACACGTGAATAAATATGATAATCTAATGCAAAGACTAAATAATAAATAAAAGACGATTTTTAAAGTGGTTCAGATGCCTAACGCAAGTCTTACGTCTACTGTTCTTTTATATATGAGAGATTACAAGAGATTGCGTATAGCAAACAGCGAGCAGAGGTACAACAGCTGATTATTCAGATAGAATATCAAGTTAGTCTCGTTCTCATAGGTTATCTTTGCTCTGAAGATATAGATTATAATCAAAGTGTGAGTTCTCTATATCAGAATCCCGAAAATGAGAGGGAGAGTCCTCTATTTATGGTAGAGGAATTCAAGGTAATGATTACAAATCTACAAGTGGGTAGGTATCGTGCAAGTCCTTCTGTGCCTCCCATTGGCTGATAACTTAGGATATATCCTCAAGTTACTTGGGGCATGGAAAAGTGTGCAGCTCTCATTCACTTATAGACAAAACCTGAATCTATCAAGTTGGTGACAGTCATATTCTCTCTGTCTTGGAGCGACGTGGCAACCCCTTTATTGCTCAAAGTCTTCCTGAACTCTGATTGGAGCAAGCTTATTTAGGCTTACATCAGCCCTGAATTTTTAGGCATAACAAATGCAAACCTGGTTGTATATATTTCATTGATGACTTGATTGTTATTGGTATATAAAAGAGGGACTGAGGGAGGAGGGAAAGATATGGGAATTTATAGCATTGAAGACAGTAGTATTGACTATTGAGAGATTGTCGATAAGGGATTGTTGCAGTCGTATTCATCCACCCATGTGGATTGAACAAATTTAATTAGTTTTACTTTTAATTATATATCAGTAATTAGATGATTTAGTTATTGTTTTGTTTACAGTACATTTTCAGGAATTCTTGTTAGTCCAGTAAAGCTAAGCTTGAAAACTATTAATTTTTAGCTGTTTTCAATTCTTAATATAAATTAAAAGTATATCTTAATCTCTTTTATTTCTTTTACGGTTATGAAATGTTGATTTCAAGTTATTATTTATTAGATTATTAACTTTTGAATTCTGTAATAAAGTCACTCTCAAAAATTAAAGAGTGCACACATATCAAGTTGTGTATTTGTTTGTGCTATGCAGTCTCACACATATTCTTATATTTTTTTTCTGGTAAATTCTCCTTTAAAATTTTGAGAATGATTTTTATCTTTATCTTTGTATTTGATTTCAAGTTTGATTCTCTAACATTTGTTTCGTGACAAATTTTACTTGTTAGCTTCCATTACTAATGGAGTGACAACTCAAAAGAAAGCATAAACCAGCATCACGAAATTTATTTTGATGGCAACCTGTATAACCACCATCCCAAACTTTAGCATGATAGGACCCAAGACATATCCATGGCCACCATCATTGCTCATCCACTGTATCAGAAGATGTGCATGAGCCATCTTGGACTTCTCGATCTCCCTTTTCATCCGTTTGGATCAGAGGTAAATAAGATAACGGGGGTAATCTTTGTTTATTTTGTAAAATTCCTGTGTTTGGTTTGCAAGTTACGGTAATCTTTTATTGCAAATAGTGTTTACTATTGGTAATTTGGGGGGTAATCTTATTACCTTGCTATGGGGTGTTATTAAAAGATTACCGAGGTAATCTGATTTCTACCCGTTTTGCCCTTAATTAAAAATCATTTTGGACACAATTGCCTTCAAATGTCTACCAAATAACAATTACCCAGCCCCCCTACATTTGAGAAATTAGCTAAAACACCATAACCACAAAAAAGTTTAAAAGTTAACAAAATACCCCCAGTCACCCAAGAGCACCACCGGCAACAGGTGTCTGTCATCGTAATGGTGCACAACCAGCGAGATCTAGCCGGTCATGTACCAGTAAGGCATTTTTCGGCCATGGAATCACAAATCCATGGCCGAAAACAGTCAAATCTAGTATTTCTATGACCGTGAAATGGCCATAGATCTAGTCGTTTTTTTACCATGGATTTGTGATCCATGGCCATTTTCAGCTTTGTCGACATACAGTCGGCCATATACAGCCAGTCGTGCGCCATTCCATCAACTGCCTACGGTTGTGGTTGGCTGCCGATAGTGGCTTGGGGTAGGTGGAGGTGATTTTCCTATAAATTAAAGTTTTGTATGACTGGGGTGTTTTAGCAAAATTTCAAATGTATGGGGTTAAAAAAATTATTCAAAAAATAATAATAAAAAAAATACTATTATATTAATATTTAAAAATGGTAATTTAGTAATTTATATAACATACTCACCCATTTATCCTCCCAACTAAACATATTATTCACTAATTTATTCGAACTAACCAAACATATTTTTTAAACATTCCCAGTAATCTTCAAGGTGATCTTTCTTTCCGTTAATATAATATACCCCTATAATAAAACATTATATGATTCAAACGCCCCCTGCTTAGATGAAGTGTAGAATCACAAGCATATATCCGCTAACTTCCCAAGATGTACTTAATGTTAAGATTGTGAAGCCAAATTCAATCCAAATAAATATTTCATTACGACATGAGTTTTTCTAATATGTTTCTATGTAGGATTGTTTTTCTTTGGGAATACAATTAAGAATATGAATAAAAGCCTTATAAAAAGAGGTCAAATCCTAACGTTAGGTAATTAAATATAATAAAAGACAAAGACCACAATCAGAGAGTGAGAGCCACTAAAGAAAGGTTTAGTGAGAGAGCCCATTTGTGAGGTTTGTGAGAAACTCTTGCAATTTTTCTCTTCTTTTTTTTTCATAGGGAATCCCGCAACGGCAAAGTGGACGTTGCTCTCGAAGAGTGAACTACTATAAATCTTATGTTTATACATATGGTTGATTATCTTTGAAACTGTTGATGCATACAGTGGCAGATCTAGGATTTTTGCTTGAGGAGGGTTGGGGGCGGCGGGCGAGCCTCCGCGGCTTTGCCATTGTTTGTTAAAAAACTAATTAAAACTTTTGAAAAATCACTAAACCTTATGTAAAGGAAGTCCACCAAAAATATTCCACACAAACTTCTTATTTCTCCTCTTTTTTTTCTTTTTTTCATTTTTTGCTTCCAAAGATTATAATATAAATTTTCATGACTTTGATGAGACTTAATTTAAGCTAAAGTCAACTAAAAATTTAAATCAAGTCAACGTTGTGTTGACTTTTAATATGAATTAACAAAAAAAAAAAAAAGGAAATTTTCTTGGTATAAACATAGATAGTTACTCAAATTTCTTTAATAATTATGAGCAGCTAAACGGTGACATTTGAAATATAAGAAAGTGGTAGATAAAGGGTGAAGAATAATGTCCAGTAAAATATAGTTAAGGTTTAATTTGGGAAAGCAATAACATTTTTAGACACAAAACACAAAACAAACTCACAAGATCCATTCACTTTTCTATCAAATTAGAATAAAAAAACCTCCAAAAACCAAGTAAGGTTTAATTTGGGAAAGCAAGAACATTTTAGACACAAAACAAACTCACAAGATCCATGCACTTTTCTATCAAATTAGAATAAAAAAACCTGCAAAAAAACAAGTATGATTCAGCTCTAAAATAAACTAAATTGAAATGAGCAATACATATACCTGAAACAAATAAAACAAAAAACGGAGCTAATCATGGCACCTTGAGTAGTAAAAGCTTCAACAATTTTAGTCTTCAAAAGTTTTAAGAGCGAGTAGCATGAGAAAGAGAAAGAGAAAATGAGAGAGCAAAGAATTTTAAGGATAAAATCATAAAAAGTAGGTAGAGCTGTGGAGAGAGTTTTAAACTTTTAATATGATGTGGGCATGAAATATACATATCAATAACAAGTTTTTTGTGTTCTTGGATATATGTATAACAGTTCTCATTTTTTTAAAATCTGAGGGTAAGCCTAGGTATATATATTAATAGTAATTTTTTAGGCCTATATATTAACAATTTAAAAAAAAAAAAAAAATGAGGGTGCCTCAAAGCGGCTGGATCCGCCCTTGGGCCTAGGTATATAATATATATATTAATAGTAATTTTTTGTGGCCTATATATTAACAATTTAAAAAAAATATATATGAGGGCCTCAAAGGGGTTGTATCCGCCCCTGGATGCACACACGCACACGCATATATACACAGACGTGCACACACACAACGAGACACACATCCACGCAAACACAGGCACACACACGTAGACACAGGCGCGCACACACACACACACACACATATCAAAGACCTACCCAAAGTTTGAATAGATCCATTCAAATTTCAAACCAACCCCCAATATTGAAAAGTCGAATAGTAATTTGAGGTTTAAATTTTCTAAAAGAATTAAAGTCTTTCAATCTTATGAAAAGAATAATTATAAAAAAAAAAAAAATACCCTCTAATTTCATCCACTATGAGTTTTTTTAGTTTGACCGCTAAAGTTTGTTTTAATTCAAGAGAATGGACAAAAATGTTTCGAAAACGTCAAGAAATATGTAATGGAAAAGTCAAAAGCATAGACTAATTCTAGTGCTAATGGTCAATCTTACCAGCTTTTAGGTATCCGTAAATGTCAATATATTACTTCATCACAAAGACTTGAGTTCTGATGAACAGATCAGAATATAAGGAACTGATATTATATATATAAGTTGCGATTATAGTTTAAAAGAAAAGCTCTTTGTAATGGGGAGTCAACCTCATTTTCTGCTTATTCCATATCCAGCACAGGGCCATGTTGCACCTCTTTTGAAATTGGCTACAAAGATTTCTGAACACGGAATCAAGATCACGTTTGTTAACACGGAATTTATGGAGGCGAAAATCTTGGCTTCAGGGCCGGAGAAAGCTGAGGAGGGGAGCTTGATGAAGTTTGTTTCGATTCCGGATGGACTTGAAGGCGATGATCGGAACGATGCAATTGAGATGAATGAGAGTGTGTTTAGAGTTATGCCAGGTCATTTAAAGGAGTTGATTGAGAAGATGAACCAATCAGATGGCGCCTGTGAGCCGATCACTTGTGTTATTGCTGATATTTGTCTCGGATGGGCTCTGAAAGTTGCCCGCAAGATGGGAATTCCGGGAGCTGCTTTTGTTCCTTACGGACCACCCACTTTGGCCTTTGCCTTTCATTTTACAAAGCTTACTGATTCTAATGGTAAGTATGTAATTAATTGAATTTGATGCCTGTATGTTAGTTTTGTATTTTGTAATTATAATTAATTGAATTTGATGCAGGAAATTTAATGAATAATGAGTTGATCTCTCCATCAGAAGAAACGCTTCCCTGGAAAAGTAACGAATATCCCTGGCGCTGTCCTGGTGTACCAGGTATAGAAAAGCTGTTATTAGAATTATTTACTGGTGTTGACGAAACTGTTAGAATTTCCAACTGGGTTCTTTCCAATTCAGTCTATGAACTTGACTCATCGAACTGTGATTTGGTTCCGAAAATCTTCCCCATTGGCCCATTGCTTGCAAGAAATCATTCAGGAAATTCAACTGGAAGCTTAATTCCAGAGGACTCTTCCTGCTTAAGGTGGCTAGACAAACAAGCAATAGGTTCAGTCATTTATGTTGCATTGGGCAGCACAACCACCTTAAATCAGCAACAATTTGAGGAATTGGCGCTCGGTCTTGAATCCTCAGGCCTGCCATTTTTGTTGGTTGTTCGATCAGACCTTGTGGATGAATCACATGTCGGATTCCCAGATGGTTTTAAAGAGAGAATCGGCCGCCGGGGAAAGATCGTTGAATGGGCAGCACAAGAAAAGGTCTTGGCTCATTCTTCAGTTGCTTGTTTCTTAAGTCATTGCGGATGGAATTCAACTATGGAAGGATTAAGCATGGGAGTACCATTTCTGTGTTGGCCTTACTTTGCGGATCAATATCAAAATAGAAATTATATTTGTGAAGCTTGGAAGATTGGTTTAGATTTAACCCTGGATGAAAATGGGATTCTGACAAGGCATGAAATACAAAGAAAGGTGAAAAAATTGCTGAGTGATGAAGGTATCAAAGCGAATTCATTGAAGCTGAAGGAAATGGCTGGAAGGAGTCTTGTTGAAGGTGGATCTTCATTTCAAAATTTTAAAAGATTTATTGATGAGATGAAGTCTGATTAATCATGACAAACCATATATATGTATTTCCAATAACTCTATATCACATATGTATTCAATCAAATTGGTTAGCTGCATTTGTGATTTGAGATTTTCCAATCCTAAGGCCTGCCATTTTTGTGGGTTGTTCAATAAAATTTACTAGTCGATATCTATTATGTAAAATTTACTAGGCTCGGGATCAGAGGAGAAAAAAATGTTTGAAGCTTGCTGGAAGTTTGGTTGAGCTGAATGGTGGGTGGATTAAACCAAATCTTCTTCCAAAAGCTTAAATCCATGTTTGCGTGTTAACTTGTGATTTTATTTTAAATATCTTGATGAAAGTTTGAGAAAATAGTGAAGTTCGGTTTAAATTGGTTTTTCCTATGCTTTCGGCTGAACTTCAATGTGTTTTGGTTTTTTGTTTTAAGTGAGATAAATGACCCTGCATGCTCTCGGCTGGATCACTGTTTGAATGGTGATTTGAGTGACATTGTTTTATTTGTCAAATACCATTTGCATGTTGTCGGCTGAATTAAGTTTTGGGTAAGCTTTGTTTTGTCAAATGCTTGGAAATGTTTGTTTTTATCTAGGTTGAGATGAAATGTAATTGTTGATAATTAGTTAAAGGAAGAAATTGAGTAGCTGGAGACTGGATTTTTTAGTACATGTGCAGTAAGTTGAATTTTAAGTGTGCTTTTTTCTTTTATTATGTTAAAAACATGCAGTTGTCTTTATTATTATTTGTCTTGTCTTGTTGGAAATTTTGGAAGAGAGAAAATGCATAATTAAAGGGAGGATTCCTCCATATTTTTAATAATGCGTAGTGTTGAGGTTGGCTGTTAAATTGTTAAGAGCAATGCTACAGTTGTTAAAGAATATACATCAAATTTATGCACCGAATGACGTGGCGCCATCTTTTTTTTTTGAAAAAAAGAAAGTCATAATTAATCGATGGTTAGGATGGTGGCACGTCATTCGGTGCATGAATTCGGTGCGTATTCTTCGATAACTATATTATTTTCCAATTGTTAAGACCATCTCCAACCCATTGCAACAAATTGGTGCAAATTTTGGTGTAAAACACTATTCCATCTCCAACCCACAACACCAAAATTACACAAAAAAGAATATTCCTTAGAATATTCTTTTTTTCTTTTATTGTAATAATCAACAATTAATCTATTTCACTCATTATTTTTGTATATATTAATTAAATATTGGGAATGATATTTTTATTAAATAATAATTATTTTTAAAAATTATACTAATTTAATAAATTTAAGCATTTTTTAATCAACTAAACATTACATTTAATATAGAAAAACATAAGTGATGAAAATTGGGGTAGTTCAGTTCAACGACCCATTGGGTGAAGAAAGCAAAATTTAAAAGGAAAAATGATAAGAGTTTTAAACAGTTTTGAAACTATTCAAAAGAAAATCGACAGCTCGCTGCTATTTTCAATCGGGGCAACTCAGCTAGGGTACAAAATTATGAAATCCAAATGAAAAATTGGCTTGGCAGAATATCGAGAAGATAACAAAATTTTATTCAAGGATTTGAATTCTATAACCGATCCAAGCCTACGTGATTTTTTTTCAAAATGAGCAATTAAGAATTATGCAAAAAGAGCTCACAACAAGGTCAAGGATCTTAAAATAACTCTAATTCTTTTCAATATTTTGATGATCTTACTGGATCCGGAAATAATCTACCGGAATACTAAATTGTTATTTGAGTTTGTTGTATTTTCTTTTAATTTTAGTGTTTTTAAATTAGTGTTAATTTTATTTTGAGTTATTGTAGTTTAATATTTGCATTGAATAAAGTTCTATTTTAATTTTTCATCATTTCTTAATTATATCATTATTATAGATTTATTATTTAATAATAATCAATAATTAAATAACAAATACTCAAATTTGGTGTGATTTTTTGTGTAAAATTTAATACTCAAATTACTAAATTAAAACAAAAAACAAAAAAAAAAAAGCAAATTAATATATATTATATATATATATATTATATATATATATAATATATATATATATATATATATAATAATATTTTATTCATGCTACAGTATTTGACGCATTTACGCCACCAAATTGGCGTGGGTTGGAGATGCCCTAAATGGGTATGTTTATATTAAATGATATTTTACTATATTTTTAACCTTTCTTTGTGTATATATATATATCTATTTTTAATTTTTCATCATTTCTTAAATTATCATCATTATAGTTTTATTATTATAAATAATAATCAAATTAAATTAAATACAAATACTCAAATTTGGTGTGATTTTTGGTGTAAAATTTAATACTCAAATTAACTTACAAAAAACAAAAAAAACACAAAATTAAAATATATATATTTTATTTGTGCTACAGTGTTTGGCGCATTTACGCCACCAAATTGGCGTGGGTTGGTGCTCCAACCCACGCCAACACCACGCCATTTTGGCGTGGGTTGGAGATGCCCTAAATGGGTATGTTTATGATTAAAATGATATTTTACTATAATTTTAACCTTTCTTGTGTGTGTGTATATATATAATATATTATATATATATATATATATATATATATATATATATATTGGTGGGTTATTCTTTAAATTGGGATAATTTTTGTTAGTTAAAGACTAGTGATGCAGCCATTAAATGGTTTTTCTAAAAATTTTACATTTAAGCTAGTATGTAAATTTATTTATTACTTCAATTCCTTGAATTTACTTTGAATTGTAAATGTGAATTTGATGAAGTTTGGTATATAGATTTATATATATTAATGCTATATGAATAAAAGTTGCTGTTGAGAGTAGAGAATTGGTTGAATTGTATACGGGTTGAGGTTCGTGAGTTGGTAAATGGTTTCTTGGTAAAAAGATAGCAGGTGCATTCTGTCAGTTTTGAAAGTATGTTTTAAAACTTGCATTCTACCCCCATTTTGCATGGAATTTCATACGTTTTGGCATGATTTGCTTTTATATGAAATGTGGTATATATCTTATGATTAGTGTCGGACATATGCTATGGTAATGTGATGTTGAAGTAATTTTTTTTCTGGGTTAAACTGTCAGTTTTGAAAAATGTTTGGAAATTTTTAATTTCACCCCTGGATGTGAATTTTGAGTATTATGTCATATATGCATGATTTATAAGCATATATGTGGTATGTTCTTGACTTATATATGTTACTTAAGATTAACATGAGATTCATGATTTAATGAGAGTTTAGTGATTTTGATAAATATACTAAATGAGAAACGAAAAAGGGTTGATCTGTCAGTTTTGAGACATGTTCATAAATCTATGGGTCCATTTGGTTCATTATTCTGATACTTTTTAAAATAATATTTTGAAAAAAAAAAGTTAAATTGGATGGGTATTACGATGTAGGATTTGAAAATTACCAAAAATAACCCTTATGTTTGTTTATTTACTAAACACCCCTATAATAAAATATTAAAAGTTAACAAAAACACCCCCAACCCACCCATTAAATACGGAGAGTCAGCCACCATCGCTGGAGGGTGGCTAGAGTCGCCGTATCTGCGCATGACCGGCTAGATCTTCCCCGTCATACGTCGATATGGCCTTTTCCAGCCAGATCTGCCGTGGATCTGGCTGGAAAAGGCCAGATCTACGGTTAGATCTGGCCATTGACAGCCAAATCTAGCCGCATTTGGTCGTCAACGACAGCCAAAGATACGGCCATCGTTGATGGTCAACGACGACTATATCTTGGCCGTCGTTGACGACTATCTACGGCCAAAGATCTGGCCTTTTCCGACCAAATCCATAGTGGATCTGGCCGAAAAAGGCTAGATCAGTGCACTACTGGCCAAATTCAGCCAATAGTGCACCATTACACCAGATTCCGATAGTGGTGGCCGGAATCTGGTAAATGTGGGTTGTTGGGGTGTTTTTGCAATTTCTAAAAAAAAAATATAAGGATGTTTAGTTAAATTAATAAATTTAAGGGGGTTTAAAAGAAATTGAATAATATAGAATAATATTTTGAGAATAAGTCAATTTTACTGTTTAACTTTATCGGGAAAACCAAGAATAACATTTGGAAGAGTGTGTCAAACGGAACCTATATTTTCACCCCTTGGACATAAATATCATATTTTTCAAGCAAACTATGCACTTTTCACGAAGAAAAGTATTTTAGACTATATATAAGAATAAAAGTGGTTTTCAAACCACCCTACGAAGTACCTGTCCCCCAGTGATACAGATTTTGGCTCTACTCGGGCGTTGAGTGGTCCGCCAAGTATGACAGTTTCAGATTTTGGCTCTACGCATGTGTATGATAGATTTATTGGCTCTTCTTGAGTGTTGAGTGGTCGACCAGGTATGATAGTTTCAGAGGCTCTGCCTATGCGATGATAGATCTTGCCGGGTATGATAGATATGTCCCTTGCTCTGCCTACGTCCAGGACGCCCACCGGGTATGACTGATTTCCCCCAGGGTAATAGTTGTAATGAGAGTTTTCAGTTATTAGTATCAAAATAAATTTTAGAATGTTCAAAATTAGATTCAATTTTTAGTATCAGCTATGAGCGATAATCCCAGTATGAGTTTTCAGAATATTAAGAGAGCTTTCAGTATTAGCCATAGTTTTAGAGTAAGATATCAGCTCATAGTTTTCAATATCAATAAAAGCTACAATATTCAGTTTAAAGTTCAGTTGTCAGCATAAAGTTTACAGTACTCAGAAATCAGTTATCAGTGCATAGTTTCATAAAATCAACTTTCAATTTTATATCATCACAATAGTTATAAATTTAGTTACAAGATTTTGTTTTGTGAATAATGAGCATTCATTGAATAATGATTTGGATGTTTGCATCATGACTAGTAGAGTTATTATTTTCAGAATCATAAGCATTCTTGAGTAATGACACAGATGGTTGCAACATGACTTTATAGGAAACATTATTTTCAAAAGCATAAGCATTTACAGCTATATTTTAAGTTTCCAGAAAAGAGTTTTAAGCATTCAATAATGAGATATAATTCAGAATTTGCTTTTCAACTTGAATGATGAGATTAGTAATTAGAACAGTTAGAAATGAGTTATACCTGCATACATGAATGATTTAGTTGCTTCCAAAATGAGTTATACCTACATACATGAATGATTTAGTTGCTTCCAGCCATAACATGTTCATAGAATCATGTTGTTTTCAGGATTTCATAAGAACTATTGCATGTCATAACTATTATTTGAAGAATGTTTTGCAACTCTCCCAATCCCCCACTCGCTGAGTATTTCAGCTCACCCTTTTTTAGACCCTTTTTCACTAGCTAGGTTCATAGGAAGAGTCATGCCAAGGAGTGATTCC